GTAGAGGCCAGCAATGTGGGCGAAGTGAGCGTCAGTCAGCTGGAGGATCCACCGGCGCACATGGATCGGCAGAAGGCGACGTCCACAAGGATCGACAGGAACCTCGCCCAGTCGAGAATAGGTAGACAGTCCCGTTTCCAGGTGGTCCAAGTCGCATTCCACCGTCTCCCAGGTTGCTTGCCCCGCATCCAGATGGGACCACTTCACAAGGACTTCTCGAAGTCGAACTTTCGAGCGCAGGCTCTTGCGCCCCTTGGCCTTGCTGGCCTTCTTCCAGTTCTTGTTTTTAGCGAAGAGAGTGGCGGCGAACACCTCACCAACATCAAAAACACACTCTGGGTAGAGGTAGTGTGGGTCAACCCCGTGCGCAATGTGGTAGAAGTAGCGACGACGGCCGCGCCTAGGCTGCGGTCCGATTTTCCTACCATCGGAGAAGAAAAGGCAGATCATACAGAGTAAGTTTTCTTTGAGAGTACGGGCTTCCAGGTTAAAGGGCGGTCAGTCAGTATATGTGGAGTAAATGACAGAAGCCCTTAAAAACTCCATTAAAACTGTACAGAGATGAATACAAAGTATTTAGGATGCAAACACTGGTACAGGTTGTATTTCTATGCAAAATTGCTTAAATATAATAGTGAAATATGAATGGTTAAAGGGGCGACACGTTTGTGAGATAGCAACGTACAACACGTCCAGTGCATTTGCACTATGCAATTTTCGCCCGAGCCAACATAAATATAAATAAACCGTCTCCTGAAAGCAAGAAAGTAGTATGCTCTTACCATATCCTTAATCTGTTAGATAAGGCTTTTGAAGTTTGCGCCAGGTTCGCGACACTTTGACTGCTTATCAAGAAAGCCGCTTATACAATCCTGAAGTTTAAACACCGTCATGTCTTGTAATTATGCATGTGTTCTGCGAAAACGCCTTCGGCATTAAAAAATCATATCCTGAAATGCGCTTCTAACGGGTACTATTAAGCTCGCTTACCGGATATGGACAGATTTAACTTGGCAGACTCAAATGTTAAACAAGCGGTCGATGATATTCGTCTTTTCTTACAAGCGAGTCATGGGAACCGGGAAGGGGTCGATAAGATAAGGATGGCTACGCAGGGAGGGTTTGATGGAGCCAGTCTAGAGGAGGGGATGGAGAAAACCAGAGCGCGGATAAGTGCATGCCGCTAAGTGACTGCGGGCCATGCTAGATGTCGGCGCCTATCCAAAAGAATAAAGGAACACCTCCCGGTAATGCTGAGAAAAGGCGAAGTCAGGAGCATAAGCAGGTCTATTTTGGCGCACATGGTTGATTCCGGACATCGGGTGGGCCCCAACGAAGCTTTCCGAGTGATCTACAAGGTCCCACCAAATTATCCAAAG